ATGTGGTTTGTGGATGTTTCTGATGAGGCCAGCTTAGCACTGGTATGCTGTAGGTGTGAGCGGCACAGAGCATAGCATGGAGATGCCTTCCAGTGCCATTGAAGCAGGAGTGTTTTGGCCACTGATTATCGTGATTGACAGAAGGCTGAAATCTGAAAGCAGAAATAATTTGATCGACGAGACAAGCATTAGAAGTTACCATTGAGCTAGAAGTGTATTAGAAAATGCTAAGCTATATTTGAACTGGGTGAGGAATAAGAGATTCCTCAGGGCCCAGTGAGGAGCCCCTGGCCCATCTTAGTGTCCCTGTGGCTTCTGCACCGTTTCCTCACACCGCCAGGGCTCCTGTGTCGAGCTGTGGGCCTGCTCTGCTGTTTGTGCTTCCCAGCTCTTCCTCAGAGCTAGGCTAAGCCTCACTGGCCCTTCTGCACAGCGGAGATGACAGCTCCCCAGACTCTTAGCTGGCCTCCAAAGAGTTAAGTACATTCTATGTGGCAGTGCAGGACATGGAAAGCTGCCAAGCATTTAGATTTGGGATTTGAAAAGCAGCTGGAGTTTAACTGCTCTTAGCAAGCAGTCCAGTGCAGGAAGGGGGAGACTGTAATAATAATGTTGTGCAGCGCCATTCATAATGCTATCATTAACTTTGGGCCAGTGTTTTCCAGCCAGGTTCCCATGCTGAGCTGAGGCTCAGAGCTGAGGTGCCCTGAGCCACCAACCGCAGACATTAACCCTGCTGTTACCCAGCTGGGCAGGGCTTAGAATGTGTGCAGTGCTTTGAACAGGTTGGTAGCAAACTGCTAAGTAACAGGACATGCATGCTGCAGCAAGGCTAGGTCCTGACTGAGTAACTCTGAGAGACTCAAACTGCCCCAGGATACACTGTGGCAGCAGACTAAACTCAGGTTTCTCTAGTATTGTGCAGAAAAGAAGTTCTGTGGCAGGGCATTTCCTCGATGTTGCAATAAACCCATCCTTAGTGTCACAACTTCACAAAGCTTTGTGTAATGGTTTGCAAAAAAATGAATAAATCTTGAGCTCAGTGCATTAGTGCTGGGGCACCACCCTACTAATCACTGCTAAAGAAAGTCTCAGACATGCCCATGCTAAGATGCTTCATCATGGGGGTGTTATGAGAGGACAAGTTTGGTTCTTGTGCGTTTTTGCTACCACAGTTTCAATATAGCTGTGTGTCTTCCATTAATATTTCACAGAGTGGTGTGCTTTCTCAGCTACTGGCCTTTATTTCTCTGCTTTCCGTGGGAAGGTAAATGTGTTGTGAGTTACACCTATTCCATCTAGTCTTTCTTAACACTCATGATTTTTGTTCCCTACAGGATATCTTTCATCGAGTTCAGCCTGTTTGTGCTTAGAAAGACTTGGCATGTCTCATGTGAATCAGAGCTCTTCAGAGCCTCTTTCCTAGCCCAAATAAAACAAAAACCAGCAACTTCTGCTTGGAAGGGGGAATCAGGTCAGATTCACTCACTGAAGTAGCTCCTAATACATAAGGCTGGTACAACTGGCCCAAGTGTGGGTAAACCTCAAAAGAGGGAAGATTTATCTATTTATCCATCTGCTGTAAGCTCTCTTACCATGAGTTGTAGAACAACCCAGAAAGCCAACACACGTGTTCTCAGTCTGTATTTAGGAGGCTTGTGTCGTGCTTCTGAGATATGTGACTGGGCAGAGCTGCCTCAGCAACCTCTGTTCATAGTTCAAATTCCTGTGAGAGCAAGGAGGACAAGTGGTATCCTGATGGGCTTTGAGCTTCTTGAGTACTTTAGTCTGCAGCTACCACTGCAGGATTTTTTTTATTCCTAATTCAAAAGTGAAATGATATTCCTGAGAAGCACCTGGGAAGTGAGGCTTTGAATGGGATATGAGTCATCTTTCTTGAGGCTTTTCTTGGCTTATTAATTTTTTCTTTATGAAAAGGGATTAAAGCTTGGCTTCACTTTTGAAAACACACAAAATGCTGTTCTGCTTCTGAGTGACCGCAGTGCTCTGCCTTTCTCTTTCCTTTCCCTGTTTGCATCAGCTTCTGTCAGTAATAGCAGCAAGGCCTACGAAGTTTAGCAGTTTTTTAGCAGATATTCCATGTCACCTTATGAATTGTAACAAAAGAGCAGAGGAGTCTCAGTTACAAGTTTAGCCTAATATCTGTTTTTTTTTCCAGTGAGTTTCTGTAAACAAGACAGCAAAAACATTTTCTATAGATTCTTGAAAGCATATAGATCTACTAGTGCAAACGTGACTTTCTATACTGGTCTGTCTTTTGTAATATCTCTTTTGAACATATCTGTGTTGTAAAACTCTTCTGAGAGCATCTTAGTTTTCCTGGCAGTTTGAAGAAGAGTGCACCAGTTCTGTGTACAGAATCCATGCAGGATAAGGTAGCAGAGTTGCATGTATAGCTGGAAGCAAAGAACGTGTATCCAGGTGAAACAGCCTTGGCGTTTCTCTGCCTCTAAAAAGAGGAACTGGTTCTGGCTGCAATTTGCCCTTGCCAGATTTTAAGCAGCTCTATTGAACTGATTTAAGGGCCCCACTGAGAGGCTTTCTCTGAGTCAAAGCCGAGAAGGAAAAAATGCCAAAGACAAGCTTTCCAGCAGCAGGATCAGGGTGGTGTATAGCCTTGGGTGTCACCGCTTCAGGGTCTAGTTTGTGTGATCCATGCTTTTCTGGGCAGGCTGGGGGAGTCTTTTGTGTATGGAGAATATTCTCTGGGTTAACTAGTTAAGGGGCTTTGCCAGGTGAGCAGACACTCAGCAGAGTTTTATGGCCATCAGCATCCACATAGTGATAGTGGTGCTTTGTAAATGCTGTATTAATTGCTTAGGGTGGAGATCTGACTTTCTGTATATCTAAGAGCCTAGCCAGGCATGCCTTGTGTTTCAGCTCCGTCTTTACTCCTAACCTGTGTTATTTAGGGCACAGGAGGAAGGATCCACCAAGGCACTGCAGCAGCAAGAAATGCTGTAATCACAGAAAGGTTCTGGTTTAAACTTATTTGTAGGTCATCTCACCTTTTCTGTGGACTTGAAGAATGTAAAACAACACTTGTGAGAAGATGTGCAATGTACAAGTGTCTGTCTTTAAATACTGAATACTGTTTGGCATACAGATAATATAAACAACTGTTTAAAAAGAAATCTTCACTATAATGTGAAATAGCATTGCACTGATTTAACCTTGCAGCTTGCAAGCATGCACATTTATCTGACAAGAAAATGCTAAGCGCAGAGTGAAGCTACAGTGAGCTAAATAGACAATTAATCTTGGTTATATCTTCCTTCTCTGCTCAGGAAACAAGGGAGTTATTTTTAAATCTGCCCTTCCTGTACTGAAACAGAGTGATTTTTTTTTTTTTCCATGTGCTAGACAGAGCATGACAATACTTTCACATTAAATAATGAGCTCTTAGTGCTGCTCTGAATTAAACAGACAGGATTGGACAGAAACTCTTCTTTATCCAAATGAGAATGGCTCCAATAATTTTTCCAGGCATTGACCTCTGCAAAGATTAGGTCATCCATGGACAAACGGAAGCAAGGCAACCTGAATGGTGGCTGGGGAGAGAAGCTCTGTGGGAGGTCTGCCACTGCATTCCCTTGCTCAGGAATGGGGAGAATTACAGAGAAGAGCTCCTAATTTGTGTGAAACGTGGACTGATGTGAAGGCATTTTGCAATCTTAACAGTTAAACAGTTTGGATTGTCAGGCTGGAGGCTCTTACTGCCAAAGGTGAGAGGTCTCAGCTCTCAAAGAGAAATTTAGGACATGCATTCATGTCAGTCTGTAGCCTTCAGCTGCCATGGCGTGGTTTGCTGTAGCTCTGAGTTTGTGCAAAGGTAGAGCCAATACCAGCTCACAGAAACTTGGAAACTTCAGGAACGTTTAACTTGGTAAATAATTCTGCGGCTTTGGTTTTGAACCTAGACTCTGCAGTTAAGGTTTCATTAGACTCTAGGTTTTTTGGTTTTTTGCTTTTTTGCTGGAAGCTGAGTTTGCCAGGAAGCTTCCAGGTGGAATCACAGGGTGAGTCTTAGCCTTGGCTTGGTTTTGCAGCAACATTCTCTAACCACAAAGCAAAAAACATCTGTATTGGAGGAACTGTCTGGATTATGCGCTGCTGTGGTTGAGAATCAGTAGAGAAATGTGATGCACGCTTGGCAGAGTCTCACTTGCATTATGTACAGTAGCGTCTCCTTTCAGTGATTAATGTTTATTTTTGCTTCTCAGTGTGCTGGGAATTAGTGCTCTTTTCTTTGTTGCTAAAAATAAGCAGGCAAGTTTATATAGTCTAATGTTTATCTGACTTGAGAGTCAACTGTAAATTAATTTGTCTTATAGTTGCAGGTAGTTCTGAGGTTGTGTTCAGAACATGCCAGATACAAGTCTTGGCATAGGCTCCCACACAAACGTTTCCTTTATCTTATAGTTCTGTCAGTGCCAGTTGATACCTGTGCTGTATTTCTATGTGTTCCTGCAGCACACTCACAAGGGTACTTGGACCTTAATTTACCCATTTGTGTAGACACTACTGCTGACTTTCTTGTTTCTATCAATATAGAGAACACTAAAGGAATCTGAATTTATGTGGACTGTAACCTAAATAATTGAATTGTCTGGAGTTATCTGAATCTCCTTCTCTTGTGAAAACCCCTTCTCATTTAAGTGTTGATGGAGGCAGGCGTTGACTTCCAAACTGGCAAAATTTCATCTGTTGCTTACAGTCAGTGAGACAACATAGGTATGAATGCTGATCTACCACCTTGCTTGTTAACTTTTGAGTCAAAGGTGGAGTGGGAATTTGTAAGAGGTAAGAAAACAAAATCTAGCTACTGTGACTGGGTTTTCTGTAATTTTACTGACTGGGGGAAGAGTTTCTGTTTGAATAGAATAGAAGTAATTGATTAGTGCAATAAGGAAAAATGAACATTTGAAATGTTACTGTGGCAGATCAAATCTCCCTCACTTTGCGGTTTGCTTTTCCAGGCCAATCAGAATGTGGAGATCCAAAGGGCCCGCCTGCGAGATGATATTAAGGAATATAAATTCCGGGAAGCCCGTTTGCTGCAAGACTACACTGAGCTTGAAGAAGAAAACATCTGTCTCCAGAAACAAGTGTCTGTGCTGAAGCAAAATCAGGCAAGTGTTTCAAAATAGTGAGCATTGCTCTCGTAGCACTAGTTAATTCCTGTGTCACAGCCTGGTTCCATCTCCTTGTTTGAACAGACACTTCTTTTCCATATGTATATTATTTTTGAGACTACAAACTCAAAAACTTCAGTACAAAGAGTTGTTCCAAAAATGTTGAAGGTTTTTCTGGCTGTTTCTGCACAGCTGTGAGGTTGTGTTGCTTTATTTTGAGGTCCAAGTCTTTCCATGGCCTTCTTTCCCTTTGTTGGAAGTAGAATTTTTCCAGCTGTGCTTTGTTACTTGGTTCAATCTTTTCCCTGCACTTTTCTGTCAGTACTTACTATCCATTCTCCTCTACCATGTCTGTAACTGGATGTATTTCTGAACATAGATTTATATTGCTGCTTAGTGCTTGCATTACCTGCCTGGTTCTGTTCTTCTTCTCATCTGGCTGCTTTCATTAAATGTGAACTACAGATATGGTTACTCTATCAGTATCAGATAAGGTGCTATCAGACCTTACCTGAAAAGTCACAGCTGGGCTGTCTTTGTGATCATGGAAAAGAAAACTGCATTTTTGGAACAACTCAGGAATTTCCCTCAGTTATCATTTCTGGAGATAATTAAATTAAACATGGTCTTCGGCCCAATTCACTATTTTTATGCTTCGGGTCCCTGTTCATCCCATTGTTTAAGCAAAATTCACTGTTCAATTGAGAGAATAGTATAGTATTCCTGAAATGAAAGGATTCTGAGGTCAGCTGTAGCTTTGATACAATCTGTTGTGGCGAGCACTTCGTAAAAGCTTTCCTTGTTTTGTTTTGTTTTTAATTAATTCTCCTCCTGTGTTCTGATTGAAAGCTGCTCTGCCAAGTGAGGTTGAATGTACTTCACTTATTTCCATGTGAACCTTTGTCAGTGTTTGCCTCTTTGACCTCACTGTGCCCAAAAGAAGGTTCCAGGTTGTGCCTGTTCTCACCTGCATAAACTTGGTCTAATTAAGCCTGCTGGGGTGCTTTGACATCATGTGGTAGGGATGAAGGAGCAATTATGCTCTACATGCAGACTAGAAGAGATAGTGATCTCATAAATTCTGGTCTATACAGCTGGTTGCTTTTAATTTTTACTATTTTTGTCTCATTCATCCTTTTAGGAGAAGCAGGTGAAAGTTCCCAGCTCTGTCTTCACATTCTAAAATAATGATATTCAAGAATGCTGTCTCTCTGGGTTGAGCCAAATTTAACCTCAGATGTTATCTTGTCAGTTGCTAGTAATTACTGACTACTTTTTGGTATTCTGGAACCTTTAAAAATATTCTGCAGTCTTAGATATTTGAGCTCACTGGGCATATTTAGAACCTAGGGTTAATTTTTTACATGGCAGTGCAATATTTTGTTTTATACCTTGTCATTATCCTACTTGATGAATTTTATTAAGCTTTAGTAATTCCACTGGCATAACTAGAAGAATCCATCAAGTTTTCCCAGACTTAAGTTGCCAGACTGAATTAGTATGATTGGATCCTGTTTTTTAAATTGTGTGTTTCAGCACTTATGCATATTGGCACCTGAAGTTTCTTTTATAGCTAGCAAAAAGTAGTCATATAATTTAGCATGGTTTCTTTGTTCAAGGTAAGGAAGGATATTCTTTAATCTTTTTTTTTCCCAAGAGATTCAAAAGCTTACACTTATGTTTGTGGTCATAATTTCAGTGCATTTAAAAAAAAATGCAGTCTTACAGGTAAAAACTTCTAGCATCCTGTAAGATGTCATTTAGCTGTCTGAGTTGTAGCCCTGACAATGATGTGCTGCTGGAACAACGATGGCAGAAATAATAGAACATTGTATTTTGAAAGTATAAAAGCAGAGTTTGATTGCTAGGTGCATCCCCCCAGTGTTAAGCCCAATGACATATACTAAAAGTAATGCAGGAGAGAATCAGAAGCATAGCTTAGGGGGACTCTGTTTCAGAAATGTTGAGACAAAATTTGTGGGAAGGCTGATCAGGGAATCTGTTAATCAAACACAAGAAAAGTTTGCATAATGTGCTAGGAAAGCCTGTTTTGTGATGCCTCTGTATCACACATTGCATCTTCCAGCTATCTTAATTAAGTTGGAGTCAATCAACTCAGTTGACAGTTTGGATGGAAATTTTATTCTGTGGTGTCTGTGAAGGTAAGCAGGCAGTGATTACATGACAGTGCAGCAACAAGACCTCAGAGAAAGAATTATTTCCTTCTCACCAATTCAGTAAAATCAAACATTCAGAAGTAAAAGTACTCAGTGCTTTGCAGGCAGACGTTTTCATTAGCAGTTTTTTCCCTATTCGTGTCTTTTCAGGTGGAGTTTGAAGGTCTGAAACATGAAATCAAAAGACTTGAGGAGGAAACAGAATTTCTCAACAGCCAGCTGGAAGATGCCATCCGGCTGAAGGAGATCTCTGAACGTCAGCTGGAAGAGGCCTTGGAGACGCTGAAGACGGAGCGAGAGCAGAAGAACAACCTTCGTAAGGAGCTGTCTCACTATATGAACATCAACGACTCCATGTACAACAGTCACCTGAACATCTCTTTGGATGGTCTGAAGTTCAGTGATGAAGCCACGGAGCCCAATAATGACGAAATCATGAATGGATTTGAACAAAATTGCCTCAGCAAACACAGCAATGGCAAGAACAATACATCAACCCCCAAGAAAAATGAAGGCTTCCCCCCAGCCCCAAGTCTGGTTTCAGATCTTCTCAGTGAATTAAACATTTCTGAAATCCAGAAGCTGAAACAACAGCTTGTGCAGGTAAGCATGTTCTCTAAACAACTGTGTACTTACAAATAAATGCTAGAGTTCATTCAGATTGGAATTTCAGTCTTCTCAATATTTTAGGGGGACACCTTACAGTATGAATTGTATTTCTGAAATCTTTGGTTGCTTTAGAACACAGCTGTCCAGGCTTTTGGCTTGCCTGGCCCACATTGAGTGAACAAGTATTGTTTTGGGCTGCATATAAAATACGTAATATAATTAATGTATACAAGTGACAAAATCTCTTTAATATATTTTTGATTAAAACATAAAAGAGGGCAACAAAAACATAAACTAGCTGGTTGGACACCTATGCTTTAGAATTTGAGGATGTTAAATGTTTGGCAGCGTAAAATCTACATTCTGGTATTTTTTAATTATTATTAAAAGAAGCTAAATTTGGTCATGTTTTGTTTGGTGGAATGTTAGAATGCAATATATGCTGTGTCCTCTATGTTACTTGTAGCAAGAAACTTAATAGTGTAAGTATTTTGTTAAAAAAAAAAATGGATAGCTATTCCAGTCACCTTCATCAAAAGGAGTTTTGCACAATGATATCTGTTTTCTGTAATTATTTTTAAAATTACAGGTTTTTAATTGGTGCCAAGCATTTCTTGTTATGTATGTTCTTTCAGGAGGTTGCAGAGCATGAAACCAAGTACATATTTCTGTTGCTGAGAAAAGTTTTAAGGTCATTTTGTATTTTTTTTTTTTTTTTTAAGAGCCCTATTAGAAAAAAACATTGTGGAAAAATGGATTTCTTTCAAAATGAGAACTTTCTGAGGAGAATCTTCAAAACTTTCAGTGTTTCTGAGACTTTGCATTCTGGACTGTCCTATGTTTGTGATAACTTTCTCTTAGGCCAATTTGGAAAATATTTTAATGGAACTCTGAGCTCCCACTTTTGACTAATTGCTTGCTGTCTTATATTTACTTGAAAATTTGTATTATAACAGTAACAGTAAATTTTAGCTTATCTTCAGCTGTGAGCATGTTTTTACAAAGAAATGCCCATTTTAGAATGAAAATAAGATATTTGGGGAGAAGCACAGCTTGGAATAGTTCCTTGGTGTTATGTTGTTTTTTCTTTTTCTGAGTACATGAAATAGCCTTTTCAATAATGTGCATATGATCAGGCTTCTGTAACCGTGTGGACCTCGACCTAAGTTGCTATCTCTTAAAATAAAGCCACTTAAGTGAAAAAGTTTCCTTTACGTGGTTGTCTCTGTTCATGTGTTTCAGATGGAAAGAGAAAAAGTGAATTTGTTAACGACACTACAGGAATCTCAGAAACAGCTGGAAAACACACGGGGGGCCCTCTCAGAGCAGCATGAGAAAGTTGGCAGACTTACTGAAAACCTGAACGCAATGAAGAAGCTCCAGGTCAGCAAGGAGCGTCAGTCTGCCCTGGACAACGAGAAGGACCGAGACAGCCATGAAGATGGAGATTATTACGAAGTTGACATCAATGGACCAGAGATCCTGGAGTGCAAATACAAAGTGGCTGTGGCAGAGATCACTGACCTAAAAGAAGAACTTAAAAATCTTAAGGCCAAATACAAAGAATGTGAGTCTAAGTATGAGGAAGAGAAGAGTAGATATGAGACCGAGAGCCAAGCTCTTACGGAAAAGATTGCGTCGTTAGAAAAATCCAGTAGGCATGATAGAGAGCAAGTGGCCAGACTGGAAAAGGAGCTGAAGAAAGTCAGTGATGTTGCTGGAGAAACACAGGGCAGTCTCAGTGTGGCCCAAGATGAACTAGTCACCTTCAGTGAGGAGCTGGCCAATTTATACCACCATGTCTGCATGTGCAACAATGAAACTCCAAATAGAGTGATGCTGGATTACTACAAAGAAGGCAAAGGAGGACGCAGTAGTCCAGAGGCCAAGGGAAGGAGGTCTCCTATTCTTCTCTCTAAAGGGCTGTTAACCATTGATCTAGGAAAGGCAGAGAATGGAAGTGGTGACAGCAGCCCATCTCCAGTGTCATCTCTGCCATCTCCTGTGTCAGATCCTCGGAAGGAACCGATGAACATTTACAACTTGATAGCTATAATCCGTGATCAGATCAAACACCTGCAAGCTGCTGTGGACAGAACAACTGAGTTGTCCAGGCAGCGTGTTGCCACTCAAGAACTTGGGCCAGTGGTGGACAAAGACAAGGAAGCTCTCATGGAAGAAATCCTGAAGTTGAAGTCCTTGTTGAGCACCAAGAGAGAGCAGATAGCAACTCTGAGAACTGTGCTCAAGGCCAACAAACAGGTCAGTGGGTCTTACAGATGTGATGGTTATAGGCTCAGGTCATAAATACAGCAGAGTTTATCTTTGAGGACATACTGCTGTTTCTTAAACTCAGAGTTTTTCTTCCTGATACCTGTAGGGAAGCAGGCTGAGAAGAGACAAGCTGTTTCAGGAGAGCTGCACAGCTTCAGTACTGTGAAGCTGAGCACTGGAGCTGTAGATGGCTTTTGGCTGTCACGTACTCATGAGAGTTTTTCTTTAGATATAGATTGAAGCTACCTAATGTGGATTGTATCAGATTATATTTAATGTAAGAAATATAAAATGAAGAAAGAAGTTATTTTCTATTTGAGAGAATTCTAGAGTTCTTAAGCTTATGTCCTCTCTTAAATTGCAAAGTAAAATAAAGTTTTCCAAAATGAGCATGTGATACAAGAACAGGGTAAAAATAACAAGGTTGAAATGTAAAATCAGTCTTTGGTGGTTGGACTGTGCCATGCATATTTGCAAGGCAGCAGTATAACTAACTACCACTAAGGGACTGTGACATGCTTTGTTGTCTCCTGTAAAGTAATACAATTACAGCATTGTGTAAGAAATACATATGTACTGTCAGCTTTTTTTACTGTATTTTAATATAAAGTTATTCCATAATGTAAGATAAGCAAAACGCTCTAAGTGCAAGTTATGGATGGATGTGTGTAAATATAGATATGCTAGACATTTTTGTTCTTTGTGTTGAAGTATGTAATGCCTACTTTTATTTCAGTAGTTAGAGCTAGGCATTACTAAATGTATACTTCATAACTTCCTAGATGCTGATGCATGTTGGTGGGAGCAGGAGCCCCCCTTATGTTCCATCTCTTTCCAATGCTCAAGGATGAAATTTGATTTAATCTGTTCAAGAGAAGTTGACCAGAAGTTTAAAATCCCAGTACTAAGTAAATGCTTAATTATGTGAAGTGGTGAAGTGTCCCATTAACTGCTATGTTTCTGTTCTTCTTGGTAAATGATAGACTGCAGAGGTAGCTCTTGCCAACTTAAAAAGCAAGTATGAAAATGAGAAAGCTATGGTTACGGAGACAATGATGAAGCTGCGAAATGAGCTGAAGGCTTTGAAAGAAGATGCTGCTACCTTTTCTTCCCTGAGAGCAATGTTTGCTACAAGGTAAAGAATATCTGAACTCTGCAAAATATGTCATTCGTTGCTTGTGTGGGGGAACAGCTGAGCATCCTGGCCACAGGCAGCAAAGCTGCCCATGCAGTAAGTGGCTGGGTGGGGTTTCCTTTTCCACATTCATTGCTTACAGTGTTTGTCTGCAATGTGTTCTTGTTGGCAAGGAAAATACTAGGATTATAGTATGCTGCTACAAAACAGTAATTTGATGTGGGGTTATTTAAGTAATCTGAGTTATTGTCCCTACTGACCATTATCCCTGGTTCTTGAAGTCCTTAAAGCTGAGGACTGACATTTATCAATGCTAAATAAGTGATTCTTATTCAATGAAGATTTCACTCTGCTTGACCTGGAGCAATCAAGAAAAACAAACAAAGATGCTGGCAAACACAAATATACATTGTTAGGTTGTCTGATCTGCAGTTGGCATCTCTTATTTCATTTACCACTGTGAACTCAACAGGGTCATCAGAACTTGCTTCTGCTCCTTAGTTGTGCTTTGTGGTGTTAGCAGATAATACATACTTGCTGACACATGCACTGTACAAGTGAGAAATTCATTTTGATGTTTGTGTTGCTTACTGCTACTCCCATTGATTTCTTTAAAAATTGACATGTTTCCTTTGAGTAGCAAAGTTGAAGTAGCAAACTTATTAGAGAATGCAGCTCTCACAGCTAAGGAATGTGCAGTTGCCTCCTGTGTGCAAAAAATCCTGGAAACCAAACCAAAGCAAACAAACAAAAAGAAAACAACAAAAAACAATGAGAAACAAAGAAAAAAGCTTCATCTAAAAGTTGTCTGTCCCAGCTTGGTGACGTTCAAAGGGACATCCCTAACAATGTTCCTGTGCCTGTATATAACGGCACTGCCTGAAGGAGATGGAGAAAAGAGTGACTATAAAGGCATCTGGTGAATTAACCTAGACACTTGCTTTTAAGATAACCCAAAGGAATGGGACAGTCTGAGTGTGCTGCATGCTGTATGGTTCTCTGCATTCTCTAATGTGTGTGTGTATATACATTTTTAAACATATAATGTTTTCTTTCTATCATCTGCTAATAAGTACTACAATAGGGAATCACAAGGATGTTTGTTACGATTCCTGAGGCTTTTCTGTATCTTTTTTTGTGGGGGTGGTTCTGCAGCAGCATGAATGTCCCTTGAGTGACCACAGGCTTCCTGGTGATTCAGTCTTCCTCAGCAGTATCTTTGTGTATGAGTAAGATTGGAAAGGCGAAATGTAAACTAAGGAAGCTGAAGATGGAGTTGTGTCACCTCATTATGCTGGAAAAAGCAAAGCCCTGCACAGCATGCATCTGTCCTTCTCTCCTTTTCTGGAGTGTGATCTAATATGCAGAACTTGCAATCTCTTTGTTAGCTGTAGATAGCTTGAAGCTGAGAGGAAAGGAAAAAATACACTATTGGCTTTCAGTTATTTTTCCTAGATGCAGACAGCTAGCTGCCTGTGTTTTCCTACATGTTAATTCTGCTGCCTCAGTGGATTAGTGTGAATGTGGTTTGGAGAGGAAGAATTGTCAGAGAAATACGAGAGGAATCATTCTTTCCCTGCCTTGTTTCAGTGTGCTGTCATCTAGAGGTCGATTTTGTCCTTTTACTGAAAAGGGTTCCATGGCATGAGGAAGGCAGAATAGAAGTTCTTGTTAAAGGAAGAGACTGAAGAGCTCAGTGCCAGAGTTCTTGCAGGGAGCTGTGTGTGATTACAGGCAGGAATGGGCACTGTCTAGGAATGCACAGCCGACCTCTCTGCCTGAATGAACAGTAAGCATTTCTGAACTTCTGTTCTACATAGTAACTGTAGTGAAAGCAATCAGAGGCCAAGAGCAAATCAGGACTCACAAAGCTGAGGTTGGAATGAGTGGAAACCTCTTCCACCGACCTTTCATCTTGTGAGCACTTGTGTTGCTGGTCACTGCAGCTGGGCCTTTGTACTCTGCCTCTAGCCTGTTGCAAAGAGAGTGAGGAACTGCTGATTGCTTGCTGCATGCCTGGTGTTTCAGTGGCTCTCAAGACTTACTGCTGCAGGTAGGGCACTGTCACTCCTTTTCGCCTTGGCCTCTGGTCAGAGAGGTGTAGTAGCCTGATGGTTGGCTGTGTGCATTTCTCTGCAGTGGCTGCTTCATGTAAGCCTTCATTTCAGGTAAGGTAGGGAAGGGGTACTCCTAGGTGCTAGGGCAGAGACGACTCCAAAAAGTTTTTGAAGTTCATATTTAAAGAGCACCTAAAATCTGAAGTATTAACAGCCCAATTTATTTCCCTGCCATCGCAAACAGCTAATGGAGCATGTATTAAGCACCATCAGTCTCATTCCTGCTCTGGCCAAGAGGTTCCTATCAGCAGAGATGAGTAACAAGTGGTGGGTCCCTTGCCCCACCATACTCATTTCAGTGTTTTATGTTTGACTGTGGGATGAAGCAGACAGCTGCGTACACCTGTGTTTTCCACAGAAAACCAACCATTTTGTAGAATGCAAGAGAACTGTAACAATGATGTGAGTTGAAGATGGAGCGTGAATAGAATAACTGACCTAATTTCCTTTTTAAACTAGAGTAATCTTACTAATGTGACAATGCTGCCAGCTATTTTTAAAAAGTAATAAAAATGCAGTAAGACCTGAGGCTGGAGACAAAGGAAAGCTTGCAAAACACAGATTAATAGCTTCCAGCATTAAAGGAGCTATTGAGAGACTGTTGGGGCATTCTAGACAACACCGGAAGCCTAAAATTAAGCTGTCACACAAAGGAATAAATCAAGATATGCACAATGTACTATGGAAGTGCATTCAGTAGCTCTGCTGTTGAAGTCCAGATTTTCTTAATCAGCACACCTCTCCCTGTTGTAGGTACAGATGGGCTGAAAGCACTGGGAGCTGGTTTCAAATCTGCCTGATAGAGCTGGAAATGAAATTTACCTGCTTAATGAGACTGCAACAGCTCTTGCAGTCACTGTATTGCAATCAAATACTTTGGTATTTTGTTACTAAATTCTCCAGGAAAAAAAAAAAAAAAGATGCAATAATTACTCTGTTAAAAAAAACTTGAAGAGAAGTTGAACTTTTTTTTTGCTTTTCTTTCTTGAATAGGTTTACACTTGCTAACAGGAGTCCTTGGTGGTGCAAAATATAAATAAACAGCAAGGTCTGATGCATGTTAGGGTGTGAGGGTTCATTAGGGTGCAGCCTTCAGCTTCATTACAAGGTATGCATACGTACTTCTTTCTCTTTCATGGATGCCACCTGGTTCCTGTGCTTTACCTGTTATCTGAAGCAGCTGTTTGAAAGAATATTTCCCAAGGAATTTTTCTTAAAACTCTTCACACAAAACAAAATAAATTATGGCTGCCTTTCTGATCCCTGTAAGGGTGAGGTTCATCTCAGTACTATTAATCATGTAAAAACTAGGTTGTGCCAAAGTGAGTTTTCAAGGCTGTCTCTAAAGCCAACAGACAGAGATTGCCACTTCCCAGGAACGATTAATCAGAATGTAGAATAAACATCTGAGGGCACTGGCTGAGTCCTTATTGAAGTTCCTAGATCTATTCCTTGATAGAAAAGGAGAACTCTGACTGAACCTGCTTTAGCAGAGAGGTTGGACTTGATGATCTCAGAGGTCCAACCCCTATGACTGTGTGATCTTCACCCCTCTGCAAAAAGACAGGATTCTGCAGTTTGCTGTTCACGTTTCTGTTCCAGAGGCTGAGAACAAGCAAGGACAATAAGAGAACAGGCATTTCTCGTTCCTCTGAAATAAAGATAAAACACTGAGAAATCCTGCAGAAGCCCGAGGTTTTTACAAGTAGAGAACAAATGTGCCCAGATGTAACTAATGGCTATCCCCACACCCTACTGTTTTCATAAACAGTAAATAAAGGGAGAGACAAGCTTGGCAACAAGTCAGCAATGAGGAACAAGTGACGAATGTTAGAATGTACTGGAAAGAGTGGCAGGATGTAATATGAGATGAAAATTGCAAGCTAGTGAATGTAGTGAAGAAGCAAAGCTATGGCTACAAGAAACTAGCTGCTCTTCATTAATGGAGTGTTTTTCAAATGAATAAACTGTGTCAGATTGTTTTTTCCAAGTATCCAAAGTATTTGGGAAAGTATTCCTGTGTTCTTGATCATCAAGGGGCTGCAGAATATGAAGCTTAAAGAAGCAGATAGCAGTGTAGTCTTCACCGGATTGAGAATATAGCTAAAGGGGCTTCATGTTGGACTCCACACAGTAGAATATTGAGCTTGTCTAAAAATATCCTGTAGGATAAATTCTCAGAGGAATCAGACACTGAAAATGGGACTTTGAAAATTTTCAGAATGTGAATCCCAGACAGGAGTAAGAGTTTGTGTCCTGTTCCTGCTGCTCAACCCAGAGCTGATGAGGGATGACTGGAAAGTCTGGGCTGTGACGTATGAGGGCAGGACTGAAGCATTCAGCTGTGTTACCCACAGAAGAAGACATAAGTAATATCTTATTCATAGTGGTTGATGCCCTGTGCCTGCCTGTCATTGTTCAAAGGCATTTGGATAATGGATAACGCCCTTAACAGAATGACTAAATTTCTGGTTAGCTCTGAAGTGGTCAGGCAGTTGGACTGGATGATCCTTGTAGGTCTTTTCCAGCAGAACTATTCTTAACAGTCATGTTTATAACACTAACATAACTGTAACATTAACTCTAGACTCTACATAGTATGACAATTAAAATGCCTAATGCAAGTAATACTGGATATGTCAGCACTCAGCCTTGGTGAAGGCATTCCTTGTAGATAAACCCCGGACCTGAGTTGCAGCAATGAGTTCAGTCTTCTCTCAGATATCTTTCAAAGTAACTGTGTCCACCCCACGAGTTCCTGGTGCCCTGGTGCTTTGTTTGAAGCCCAGTAATGCTGAATGTTGAGGAGAGCAGAACACAGCAGATATCCCTGTGCTGTAGGCATTTGGGGTAAAGATGACGCCAGCTCTTGGCTTGCAGCTT